AACACTCATATTACTCTCTTTCTCTTTGAGACTTTGTGCATATACAGAGCTTCTGCTTCCTAAGTATGTCTAATAAGCAAGTTGCAACAAGGAAGCTCTATCTCAGAAGTAGAAAAAAAACAGAAACCTGAGAAAACGGACTAGAAAAGATTTATTACAGACAGAATAATAAACTGATTTTTGCTACCTGCCATTGCCAGTCTGCACGAGATACTATCAAATTGCCCTAGAAATAAACTAATTCATTTTCTTCAGATTTTAAATTAAGCGAATACTAGAACTAACACAACTTTTGCTGGAATAATGAAATTGTTGTTGTCCCTCATCTAGAAGAGCCTCATAATGCCTTAAAAAAAAAAAACCCGAACAAAACTAAACCCACTCCCCATAAGACAATATTTTATACAAGAATGCTGACAACCAAAATGCAGCTACTTCTATCAGCTGCCTAACAGCTCAGCATTCAATGCATTCTTGTCATGTACACACCTATGCAAAAAACACCAAGTGGATAAAACACAAAAAAACTGTGGGTAAAATGAGTCAATCTGAACCAGAAGCTGTGCAGACCCCCTTTGTTTTCTTTGAAGTGATACTTCATTCAGAAAAGATCACACTGGATTTAGCCATTGCACTGATGTCTGCAGGATAACAGTACAGATCAGCAATTATGTTCGGTAAGAATGGAAGGAAAACCCTAGAGAACCAAGTGGGCGACAACAGAGCTTGCACTCCTTAGGACTGTATCAGCACAGGCAGAGAAATCTACAATTATTCTTGTAAACAGAAAACAAACAAACAAAAAAACCCCCCCCCCCCAAAAAAAAAAAAAAAACAGACCCAAAGAAACCAAACCCATGCAATATACTTATTTAAATCCCTTTTTTCCCCAAGGTCACAACAGCTGAGGCTGTTTTAGACAGTCAAGAGACAGCTCTGCCTGGACAGCCTAGAGATTTCTCTTTCTAACTCTGCTCCCCACTCTATTTAGATGGGGAAGAAAACAGCTATGACTCAAAGCTGTATCTTAAGAGGAAGCTGACTATTACACTCCTCATCACCCACAACTCTAGGAGGTTGAAGACATTTTTCAAGAGACCATTTCCCCTAAGCTACATGAAATTCTCTTTGAAAGCAAACAAACATACATCCACGCAGTCCTGTGTACACCTTCCTGTAAAGGCAGATCCTCTAGCTATCCGTCTCAAAGAAATTTGCACACACTTGCATGGTTTCAGCAAGCAAGAATAGTTTCATATCATAGGGATGCAGTTTTCTTACAGAAAGAAAAATCACAATTATTTCAGCCTTTTTTTTTTTCCTGGTACTGAAAAAAACAAAATTTCTGGCTGTGATAAATCAAAGCTTGGGAAGTGCTCAAATTCTCTTGTAATAAACAAACTCAGATTCATCTAATGTTTCCGTACTAAGAATAATACTGTGTTCAAAAGGCCTTTCTCCTGCACCACACAAAGCCCTCTGTTTCACAAATCTGAATTGGAATCAGATTCCTGTGGAAATTATATTGGTATCTGAAGCTCAGAGCTATGTTTTTATTAGAGAAGTAGGTGCTTCCCAGACTTGTAAAATGAGACAGTAACATAGCCATCAAGTAAGATAATTAAGACTGAACACCTCTTCAGTTGCTACTTGTGCATTCTTAGCAACCTCTGAGAGTAGAAATAGCATCAAATTGTCAAAAAAAAGGCATTAAAATTAACGACACACACATGCTACAAGACAGAAGGTGGTTTTTGTCCTTGTGGTCAAGAAGTTCTTTGGAAAGAGTACTGAACCCAAAGCCTGGTTCAACTGGGAACTGAAGTAGTAAAATGGGCACAGAAGGCAAGACCTGATACTCACATGAAGCACAGCAGCCACTGATACTGTGTTTCCTGCGGTATGTGATTGACAACCACATCACAGACCTTTCAAAAAAATCAACAGTTAGTTTGCATGCTTGCACTGTATAATTTTGGATGACAATCCTTTTAGGAAAAGGGATGGATCTATTATTTACACAAAGAATGAGACATGAAGAAACTCAAAGGGACAGCTTTTCCAGCCATTGTCACTGAAGGAAACAATTTGAGCTGAGTGTCTGATCCACTTGGTAATTCTCTGCAAAAAGATTGTTTGGCCTTTGGATGAACCAGAAATGGTCACAAAGTGAAGAGACAAACAAAACGCAGAAAGCAGTTTCCTCTCTCTCCCCCATCAAAATGTATCCTCAGGAAAAAGAACAGTAACTGATTTTGATAAAAACCCTAAGATTTACTCTAAGAACTTCAACACAATCCTTATAAACTTCTCTTGGCCTGGTGTCCAGAACGTGGGTGCCATTATACAAGCATAGGCAGTTTCGCCCAGACTGTCAGGCAACACAGCTCCTAAAATGTGTTAGTGTCACCTCCCAAGAACTTTGGCAGTTATGAATTCAGACTCAAGTCAAATTTCAGTTTTCTTCCATAAAGAGTAAGAAGTAATGATGATCAGTTCCAGCCATTTTCACTTTTTCTGCCCTTGGAGAGGAGCACTAGAAAGCACAGGACTTACATGCACAAATGGAAGCTTGTTGGACAGCAAGCTGAAAGAAAAATTCTCTTCTCATTCATAGCACTTGTGCATCTACTCCGGATTTCAGTGCTGACCTACATTCAGCAACATGACACTGACCTAGAATAAAATGAGTGCCACAACTGATCTAAAACTTCAGAGGCCGATACTGACACTTTAGAGAGAAAAAATAAACTGAAGGAAGAGTTAATATGACTTATTTTCCTTTATAATCAAAACTTATTTGTATATCCTAGCATATATCCTATCTATCACTTTAATCCTCTGATATACTGCTTGAACAGAGACCCAGGCTCCAGCAGTCTCACCTCACTTAAGTATTTTGGTACCCATCTCATGTAAGCATTTTGGTATTATTTCTCTGACAAACCCCAGTGGTACACTGACTTTTCCTTCAAATCTTCGTTTAATCTCAGGGAAGTCTCTCAAAAAGTTTTCAATGTACATCTCTCAAACCAATTCAGAACTGGATTTATTGTTTTAAGTAGTAATTTTTGCAGTAGCAATTTGACAACAGATTCTTGGCATTTGTGCAGACCTGCCTTTCCTCATTTTCAAATAAGTTCTTTCCTTCACCACAAGATGCATCTTGGTTCTAATTTACCGACTGTACATCTTAAATGTTCTTATTCACCAAACTCACTCATTCTCACTTTAAAATACAGAAATGTGTGTTGCTAATTCTGTCAAAATTAATGCTATACCAAACTGAATTACTGAGAATGAAAGAATAATGTATCATAAACTTTTCTTTTTTCCTAGTCTTGGTCTACATCGGCCAGATTTCATGCAGTCGACTTTTCTGAAGCAGGATACTTTTCCCTGGTGCAGATAAACAGATCAAGTAGAGTTCTCTGTAATGACCAAACACACTCCAAGAGGATATGGGTTTAGCTCCCATTATTAACAAAGCACCCTCCCCCAGACAAGTAATTATTTAAATAAAAAATAAACATTAATTAAAAGTATTAGCAAAGAAATGACTGTAGACTACATAGATGTGGAACAGACAAGGTTTCCTCCTGTTAAATTTTTAACTACAGTTAGTACCAGATACTAGTGGGAAGAAAAATTTTTACTGGAGAGACATCCACCATGCGTCCAAGTTTCTTTCCACTTAAGTTTCCAAATCCCTTGAGAGTCAGGAGCAATGCCTACCTGCAACAGAAAACACATTCTAGTGACAAAGCCACAACAAAAAAATTTGCCAGACACTTTTGTTGTAGTTTAGAGGCTGCAACATGGACCTGCAGACTGTACTCATCCTGTCCAGCTTTAACAGAACCTTTGACTTCTGCCGACTTTAGCACTTAAGTTGTATTTTCACAGTGAAACAGGTATTTCAAAGTTTACTTTACTTTTGTTCCAGACCTGCAGCTAAGCCTGCGGGCCCGAAAGGCAGCCCATTTCCTTTTTAAATTAACTGATATGGCTGCAGCAAGTGAGAGATAATATCTCTTCTTACAAATGGTCTCACTTAGGTACCTAGTGGGATCTTCAAAAGACTGGAGAAAGTTATCCTGTGTATTTCAAGTAATTTGGGAAAGCTAAAAAAAAAAACAGATTAAAAGAAAAAAAAAATACACACAGCCCCACACCCCAAGACTGAAGATTGGGTTAAATGTGAATTCAGCTTAAATTAAGTAAAGAAGTCTCAGTAACTTTAGTAATGGTATGATTCCATCCCTCCCCTCCTCCACACACACACACACTCTCCCTAGTAAAGCCAATTAAGTAGGAACTAAGCTTTTCTTCCTACTACATCAGTAAGGCAATGGTGCTACTAGTTCCAGCAAAACTCCCAAATACTCTGCTCATAGACTGTAGTGGCCAACAAACAATTAGATCATTCCTGAATTAAAGAAATACCTGGAAGCAATTTCACATAATCACTATTTTCTTTCAAAGCACAATGGAAAGTTGGCACATACTGCATTTACCAGAACCGTAATCTGGTTTAAGCATGGGTTTATTTTAAAAAAATCTTCAGCTCTCACCTATAGGCTATTCTAGAACCCTGTGAATCAGCAGATAGTTACTGTTTATTGGAAAGCTTCCTTCTTTAAGTCACCTTTACTTCCTCTCAGTACTTTACAGAAAGTAAGAAAAGAACTACGCCATCAGCCTTTGCTATAGGCAACTGTCTACAACCATCCAGAATCTAGAACATGAAGTATTCAGGATGCAACGCTGAATTTTGATATATAGACCTCTAATAAATCAAATATTCTACAGACTACAGAAAATTTAAATAAATATCAGCCATAAAACAGACAGCTTCTTTCAGGTATTTACAATATACTTAGCATAGTGTCACAAGTTTAGGCATGCTTTTTTTCCTTTGTCCTTTTCCAGATACTCACAGGTTTTAAAGCATCTCAAATAACGAGGCGTTTAAAGGAAATCAGACGCTACACAGGTTAAACAACATGGTTCTATTAAAAACTATCTTTAACCATGGCACTCAGTGACAGCAATACAATACTTTTTTTCCACAAAGCAACTAATATAAAAATATGCCATAAAATCATTTGTAGACTAGTATGCTAGTACATACATGTAATCATAACATTCTTTTATAAACTCTTTCCTGAGATACCTTGAGTTGTTTGATTTTGTTGGATGCATTATCTTTATGGTTAATCTAAAACAATTGTAAAATATTTTGTATGTGCAGGACACTCAGTAACATGTAAAAAGTAGTATGTAAATATATGGCAAAGAAACAGCTCTTAGAAATTATGCGCTTTTTTACTTTGTTACTTTTTTTTTAACATTTGGCTCCTTGGGAGATGGAAGGGAAGAGCATGAAAAACCTGACATTAGAGCTATGAATTGACAAAAAGCAGGAAAGCATTTCAGGAATGTTAGGAGTTGGAATATAATATAAATGACACAAAGAGAAAGCCATAATTCATGTTGGCTCTGTATTGCATTATAAAGCAACTGGACATATTTTAGTCAGTTCACAGTATAATAAATATTTTTACTAATCTGTTTTGGAAGAACAAATGCGTTTTAGGGTTTCAAGCTCCTCTATAAGTTTCTTGTTCTGAACTTCTAGCACTGCAACACGACTCTCCAGACATTTTATATATTCTTTCTTCCGACGTCGACATTCTTTAGCAGCTTCCCTGCAAAAAGCAGAAGTAAAAAGTGCAAACAAAAAAGCCATTTGCATGCCATTAGAAAGCTCAGCAGAGTATGGAGACTATGACAGAATTCCAAATTTTGGAATATCTCCCAAATCAGTCTGAAAACACTAAGCAAAACTGGGTTCCACAAGGGCCTCAAGTGTCTCTTTCTCAAGTTCATATGGCAATCTGTAGAATTGCTTCCTCTCATGCCTTGATTAAAGTTCGTAATAAACGAGGTCCAAATGAAAGACAGTTATTCTGCTTTATGACAATAAAGATCTTTGAGGGCCTTGAGTTCCTCAATGAGAGTCTTGTTTTGGTTTTCAAGCACAGCCACACGATTTTCAAGACATTTGACATATTCTTTCTTCTTTCTGCGACATTCTCTGGCAGCTTCCCTGGAACCAATACAAGGCAAATGACTACAGGAACAGCCACGATATGGCAAAGACTGCATAAATGAAATTACCTGCAATCCCTGCAGTTCCACAATAGCAACAACCAACAACAACAACTGTTGGATTGCATAAACAGAACAGCAGATAATAGCCATAAGCAGTAACATGGTTAAAATACAATTCAAAACAACTAGAACTTGAAACAAATTCAGCATCAACAAACACAAAGATAGAATTAATACACAGAGGAACTGAGAAAAACAGTGAGTAAATGGTAACATATGGACTTGAATTGGACTAAACAGTAAGACTGAAAGCAGCATTTCTTCTTCCAGTCACATTCCATTTTGTGTGTTTATCAGGAGTATTATCTTCTGCAATCAAAATCTTAAAACCAAACCCAAAGAATTTACTTTCAGAAAACACAAGAACACTACCCTCTTCAGATAAAAAGCTAGATGCCAAGCTTACAACCTCCTGTAATTTTTTTACCTTAATGTAACAATCTGCAGTAAAATTTAAGTCCAAACAAATACTATTTATTAGTATTTTAGAACTGTCCCCCTGGGCATATTTCAACCACGTGCATCTGGGTTTTCTGTGTTGTTCCTGGCAAATAGCAGCCTGGAGCCATTCTTATAGTTCTGCTCAGAATTCTGTTATATTGAAGCTGAACACTTTGGGTAGTATTTTCAGAAGCATGTGACTGAATAAGCATTCAATTTCGGAAGAAATTTTAGAAGCCCTGGGAGTTCACTCCTTTAACATCTTGGAACGTGATCAATTGTCAAATTGCAAGAGTGCAACTTTCCAGCAAGTTATATGAGAGATAACACAGATGCTTGTTTTAAAACTGAAGAGAGGAGAAACAAAAAGAGGCACAACAATGCAGCAGTCCTCATAAGCAATTTAAAATAAAGGACAGGCATGAGAGCAAAGCAATACCATTAATTCCATCATAAGATAAGTGGCTATTCAATGTACTGGAGATCTGCATAGCAGACTATTTCTCCATTAATCTAACTGCCATTGATAATCGTGGCTACACATTTAAAAAAAAGGAGTCGTCCCCTAAAATAGCAAGAATGCAAAGAGAAAGACTGGCATTTACAGCATACAGTCAAGTCCATGCCAACCAATTAAAAAACACACAGCCACCTCACACAATATGCCTCACAAAATGACAGGGGCACTGCACAATAACTTATCCCAGGAGCCAAGTATTTAGGAAAGTTTATAATTATCATACCATCCCAGAATAAGTCCTCTTCACAGCATCATTAATAGACAGCTGCTAATGAGATCCTCAGATATTATCCTAACCAGTTCTTTGCTGGGATGGTTCAAAATGAGCAAACCCATACTGGTCATTTTACTGTTAGTAGGAGCAGGGGAAAAATCAACAATAAGTATACCTCCAGATCATCACAAAAATTATCAGAAAGGGACAACGCTAATACTGATTTCTGAATTACCATAATATTTTCAAACTAAAAATCCATGGTGATAAGGTCAACTCTAACTTTCCAGAGTTAACAGCCAATACTCAATGCTATAAGGATGTGGGATGACTGCAAAGAATTTCTTGTCTTCCCTTCATCAATCACAGACAGCGCTTATGACCTTAAGAAGAAAACTTCATTAGAATGTTTTGGGGTTTTTTTTGCAACACTATTAATTGTTGTATAGTCTTACCTATTTTTCATAAGTCTCAGCTCCCTCTTGCGTGTTGCCTCTTCTGCGAGCTGCTGAGGGCTATGCAAAGTCCCTGGTGAGGCTGCCATTACCACTCCCTGAGGTAAGGTAGTAGTGGGAGTTCGAATCTGGTAAGCTGGCATGTCTCCAGTGGCAGCTGTATAAAATAATCATATTTTAAACTTTATGGCAAAGAAGAACTATGCAAAAGACTCTCTGCAAATAACAGATTTCTGTTGATGAGTTATCCAGGATCCTTGCTACATAAAATAACTCACAGGCCTGTAATGTCACAACTGTATTTGTTATCTTACTAGCTTTTATTTCCACACTGTAACATAACTTATCTAAATTGCTCCAGCATGTGGCCCTGCTAGCCAGCCAGACTGAAGCCTGTGAAAGCTTCCACATGGCTCTTTTCAGAAAACATAGAGAAAGCTGTTTGAGAAACACTGTCAGAGCATCCACACTTATTTCCTGTTTGCACAATCGCGTGAAGAGACGGTCCTGCTGTTGCAGCCACCGAAGTTTATATGCTACCTCTGTCCTCTAACAGAGGTTTCAGGAACCAACTTGGTTCAGAAGTCAACTTTCTCCTCCTTCCCTGTGATAGCAACAGTACCAGCCTTACTGCCTCTCCTTCCTTTACAGCAGCAGTTTGGCAACCCTTGGAAAACCAGTGAGAGCTGCTGTTGCCAAAATGAAAAGGAGCAGACAAGTGCTCACGGTGAACAGGAATCTGTTCCTTGAGCAAGAGGACCACAAATAGGATGCTGCAGCATTCGCAGGCAAGAAGGGGTAGCAACAGTTGCATAGGAAGGGGTGTAGCTACACAGTAAATCAGAGAGCAAAAGTTCAGATTCAGCTCCTGAACCTACCAGTTTCGAGCTCCCCCCAAGCTAGATGGAGATCTGAAATCTGACATGGTATTTGGAACAAATACCTTTCTGATAGTCTCACCTTGTTTCTGTATTTCTGAGGTATTTTGTTCCTACATGATGCACTCCAGCTTTAAACACTGTGACATTCCTAAGTACCTGTGTCTTGTCTGACAAGGCGGGGGGAGGGGGGGTAAAGTAAACAAAAAAAAAATGTATCCCTCTTCAAATTATAAGCAAGTACTTATCTATTCATTTCCATAACTATTTTATATTGTCATAGAACAAAACTTCAAAATTTGTCATTGAAGCAATTGAATATAATAGATGAAATTTCAGGAGCTGTTATGTTATACTTAATTTATACATTAATTCTTTAAAGCAATATGCTTTAAATAATGGAAAAACTTAACTTGTGTCATGGTTTAACCCCAGCCAGCAACTAAGCACCACACAGTCGCTTGCTTGCTCCTCCCCTCAGTAGGATGAAGGAGAGAATTGGAAGGGTAAAAGAAAACTCATGGGTTGAGATGAGAACAGTTTAATAATTAAAACAATAATAATTTAAAAATTGTAATGAAAATAACAAAAAGAGAGAGAAATAAAACTCAAGAAAAACAAGTGATGCAAATGAAAAACAATTGCTCACCAACAACCAACCAATGCCCACCCTGTTCCCCAGCAGCAGCCCCCCCAGCCAGCCTTCCCCCTAGTTTATATGCTGAGCATGACGTCATATGGTATGGAATATCCTTTTGGTCAGTCTGGGTCAGCTGTCCCAGCTGTGTCCCCTCCCAGCTTCTTGTGCACCCCCAGCCTACTTGCAAGCAGCATGAGAAGCTGAAAAGTTCTTGACTTAGTGTAAGCACTGCTCAGCAACAACTAAAACATCAGTGTGCTATCAACATTATTTTAATCCTAAATCAGAAACACAGTACTATACCAGCTACTAGGAAGAAAATTAACAGTCCCAGCCGAAACCAAGACAACTGGGAAAAATAAAATGTAGACAAAAACACTTTTGGGAGGCTGATGGATAGAGCAGTAAAGAGACATCAATTAACTACAGGGGGAAAAAAACTAAAAGCTAAACTTAATAAAAGATTTACTATTATTCTTATTAAGTCAATGCAGGTGCTTCACCAATTAAATACAAAAAATAGGATCAAGCTGTGTTTAAGACTAGAATTCCACAGCCATGTTCTGAAATCATTATCAGCTTAAACACTTTGCACCTCCCCCCCTCTCTCGGTCCTTCGGGTAAAAGTGTTTGTGGAATTACAAGATGAACTGGACTAGTGAACTGACCTGGGTTAGGGATAATCCCCTGGGGATGGGGGAGGGAGAGAGAAATCATCCCAGGACAGCTCTGTGACCACTAGCAGGCAGCTGCCATGAACACAGGGCTTGGTCTTCTTGTACATCTATCTACAGGAGAATTACTTAACCCTTTCTTTAAGTTCTCCGCATCTCTTTGTGGTCCCAGTTATGTCAATGGGATGATACTTCAGCTCACTATTTATAGAAATGGAATTTTAGAAATTCTTCAGGCTCATCTTTATGTTTGCCACATTACATACATTTTACAGACTCTATGGTAAGAGCTATCTTTTTCTCTCTCTCATCACTAGGTAAAAAAGAGATGTTATCTTAGTTTGCATTAGCCGCAATGAATTAGAAATCCAAGTGAACCATTTTGTAGATCAAGACACAGGGAAAGACCCATAACCCAGGTCACCTCAGCCTGGCAAGATCAACTACTTTGTTGTCTTTGTTTGATCTACACTCAGATGTTAGCTAAACAGGACTTACTGATGCTGTTGTTAAGAGGACTCAGTGTAACAATGTACCTGCAACATGGCTTAACAAAAGCCAGTCCCTACCTCAGCTGCGATCAGCAAACACCACTGTAAGTAACAACATGTTGCATGAATAGTTTGAGCAGGTTCCAGCACTGTCTGTCCCCGCCTAACAGTTGGCTCACTTATAAACCTACCACTGTGTTAAGAGAGATAAATAACCATTTTCGTCCTATAGACCTTGTAAGCCCAGACACTGCAGTTACAGTAGAAAAAAAAAAAGCATAGCATTGAATAGCATTGTCAAAGTATCTTTTAGTTGTGCAGCGATATGTGCTTTACAATACATTATTGCAAATCAATTATTTAGAAATCTGCAAAAATTTTTGTATAATATCTCAAAAAGTTACAATAAAATACTGTTTCCCCCAAAAAGACATTAGGAAAGATGAAACAGGCTTTAAGCGGGGGGGATAAAATACCCCTGAAAAAATTCATAGTTTCAGTCTAGTAATGTATCTACATATTACAGAGAAGGGTACCTTCCATTTCAGCATCAGAGACAAAAATCCCACATACCTTGACCAGACTGACAAACCTCTGTGGCCATTTCTACTGAAACTCCATGGAGGTTTGGTCATTCCTAGCGTATCAGACATAGGACTGAGACTGTTAACAAACCAACAAACCTGGAGATGGTGTGTTGCCCTAATACATTGCCCCAGGTCATCTTTTTTTTTTTCTCCTTAAAATTGCAAGGGAGTACAAAGTCACTGAAAACCTGAAGCTTTGAGTTGAGACTTACAAAAAGGAAATTATTAACAGGAAGACAAACGAACAAACAAAAAACCAACCAAAAACACCAAACCACATTCAGAAGAGTACAACTAACCCTGTGAATTAAGCTCTGAGAAATTAAAAAAAAAAAAATAAATAAATTAAAAAAACCTGCAAACAAACAAACAAAAAAATCAACCAACCACCTTTTATCAGCAGATTCTTGGAAAAAGTAACTTGCCGAACACTAGAGAGCATCCCTGCACTTGAGTTCTTTCAGTGACGATCCAGGAGTAAAAAGCCTGATGCATGCTATGTATTAGTACGCCTATTCTGCCCTTCTGTGAGTCATAATGATGGGACTAGATTATCAAAGGCTTTTTAACTTCACCACTGAACTGGCTAAACAAGGCATGAATCATTATCCCTTTGAGCATAAAAAAAAACCCAAAACGTCGACTTGGAGCAGATAGTTATCTTCGGATTCATGAAACTATATGTACCAGCAACGAGCAGCAGCACGTAGGTACCGGCTGCGAAGTGGTTAACATTACAGATCTGCCGGAGGCAACTGACGAAGCAGAAAGGAACTGACTAAATCGCAGCATGACTTGGAGCTGACGTCAATGTGTATCTTGTTTGGAGTTTAACTTTTCCAGTTCCCTACTGCAACACGATTCCAGGAAACCTAATGACGTCAGCCTTTTGAACTCAATTAGCTGAGGAACAGACCATTTTAACAGTGGAGGAGAAAACAAGCAGGCGTTACAATACTTAAAATAATTGCTCTCCAAATTTGTTTGCATTCAGTATTTTCTTTAATAATGAAAACATAGGGTTTATTTACACTACTGAAAAAATGCACATCTTTTCTCTTACAGCTATGCTTAAGCCTATTTCAGTTATCAAATCTGAAATGTTTACTGCTGAACAAAAAAGCAGTGTCATTTTTACAAAATAAAAAACAATCATAAACATAGTAACATATAGGACTATCTCCACCATAAAGAAGAACTTAAAAGAAGAGTGGTGGATTTTTCAGCAAAATCCTGCATCATACAGTAAAGATTAGTTATCAGAATTAATCTGTGCAAGAACTCATGCACTAACAGTGATTTTTCCCCCAAATGAAACTGTTAAAATTGCCCTGAAATCCTACACTGACTAGATATAACCAGAAGCTATTTGTACCAGTTCTGAAAAATGAAAGAGTTACAGCAACAGGTTCAAAAGAAAATGTCACAAATAACAACTAAGCACTGCTTAGACATCCAAAAATATCATGTAAAAGACTAAAAATTTTTACCTGTTTCATCTCCTGTTACAGCCATGATCACCTTCTGCACACACGATCCTCCTGTTCCTCTACCAGAGCTCAGCATGAACTGTTCCAAACTAGCAAGCATGTGCAGGATTACAAGCAAGAGCACTGACATCACAGTGACCTCACTTGCTTACCACTGTCATTAATACACTCTGTCGCTGGAACAGCTCACTGAAACTGCAGCCCAAAGAACTCCTTTTCCAGTAAGCCTTTTTTTTCTTCCTCTTCCATATTTCTATATGCCTAGCTTTGTTCTTTTCTCCTGAATTTTGCATAAAGCTACAGAAAGCACTCACAAAGCTGGCTGTAAAGCAAGACCTGAAAATTCACAGCACTGACTGACAGAAATTAATACATGGCTCTAGAATTCATTAATGAATCCGAATGATAAAATCATGATTGGATAGAAAACAGGAAAATTTTAAAAATATGTGCAATTGTTTTGATTGGAGCAGTTCCACTAAAAGGCAGAGAACTCTGTCAGACAGACATGCAAGACAGGGAAGCTTAACAAGCTATAACAAATAAGTAAATGAAAGGCAAAAGCTCCTTGCTTTGGGGGCGGGAAGCCACAATCCACTCTTAATTTCAGTTGAAAGCTTCAGAAAAGATTGAAGAATGCTCTGAAAAAATTCAGTCAACTTAAAGCTAGTGATTTCAGATGCTGTAACAGGCAGAACAGTAACTCTGGGTAAGGGCTACCTCTCCCCCTTTCCCTCCTTTTTCAAAATAAGTCCAAGAGATTTGTAAAATCTCAGATCTAACAGAGTTATGTCTCATTTACATCAATTTAAATTAAATTTAAATTAATTCAGAACAACAGTCCAGGCACTGGTCTGTATGTAGGGCATAGCAAACTTCTAAGGCCTTTGTCTGTAATAAACAAATTCAGACTGGTAATTGGTCAACTGTGAAACTATGCCAAGGACAGCAATAATGGAAGCATCAATGCAAAAAAGGAGTGCCCTCTGATTACAGGACCACATGAACAGAAGATGAACAGATGAACTGAAGCATGCAAGAAATTCAAGCCAGAGATCTCAAATATCACTGATCTTATCACTGACCATATTATGAAAACACACATAGATCCCAACAGAATGATTTTTGATACACCTTTTCAACACTCATTTTCACTAATAATTAAACACTTTCTTTTGCTTCAGCTAGCAAAAAAAAAACTTTAACCTGTGTTAGGAAACTGTCAGGACATTGGAACTGCCTCTTCTTTTGCCTATGAATGTAAACTTGCAGCAAATGAAATATCACATAGTTGGATCAACACCTTTGGTACTTTTACACTAATCCTTCTTCCCCATCACAGGTTATCAGAAAATATCAGGCACAAGGCTTATGTGATGCCATCCATTATTACATGAGATTCATTAACATGACTGTGGAAAAAAATATAAATACATATGCTATCTGAAAGATTCTGAAACAGATCTTTTCAGCCCTAGGACTGACAGTTGTATTTTTTTTTTCTTTTACTTCTATGATTATTACAAATAAAATTTATATACTGTCTACCCAAAATCATTATAAAAATATACATAAGCGGAAAGATTACTAAGTAGAATGTTGTTTCCTATAACCTGTGCTATCATGACATTAAGTGGACAGTCAACTACAAAACATACTTAAACGACAAATGTTCATAAACTATATTCTTACAGACTTTCTAGCATAAGCAAGATGACCTGTAGTAAGGACGTATTAGAGACCTGTACATTGAACTAACTCCATTGTTTCACTCCATCCTGAATAACTCAAGTTTGTTAACTATACATAATTATTATCATAAAGAGATCTGTATTACTGTAAACATCCCCAGGTGCTTTCATACTCTTTATATACTCTTTTTTTATTAAAAAAATTTTTTTTAAGCTCTTCCAATATCAACAGCGTGTTTAATAAGTTGAAACCTTTTATTTTCTCATCATCTCTGAATTCACGCTTACTTACTATTTCCTTTGTGTTTTTCCCTGTATATGTTATGTAGCATTTTTCTTCTGTGTTAACAGCTATGAGCATCACTAAAGCACTGGACTTTGTTCAGGCCAAAGGAACAGAGAATTGCAGGAAGTCAACTTCTCTGAGCATGCACAAAGAACAAATCAATTTAACTAAAAGTATCTAGAAACTTCCAGAAACAGGATATATCAGGTATTCAGTAACCGTCTCTGAATCCATTTTGAAAGTTTTCATCACAGGCAAGACACTTAATGAGCTATACCATCAAGTAGTCGAGCCCATCACTGAGATTGAACAGGGGGGTTAGAGGACAGCCCTGTAATGAAGAGTCTGTAAAGGAAGGCCCATCAAGTGAAATTCCCAAGGACTGAAATGCTGCCAGATACAATCCCTAAGTTCTGTGCTTCTTCACAGACTGGGAAGGTTTGAAGAAACAACTGAGGAGCTACACTCTCTGCCTCCACCCCCAAAACTCTAAAGAATCAAAATGATAAATACAAAATACTACACAGTCAACCTGGAGAGACAGAGAAGTCTTCTAATTTAAGGCATGTGTACATATGCATATAGAAAACGTATCAGATTCATACTCAAAAAACATGTACTACCAGAGTGGGAAATTTGTTTGGAGGCCTTGAAATGCTTCTGAAAAGTCTTGGGAAGACAATATATTTCAGCAAAGAAGTTACCAGAGGCAATGGAAGAATTCAAATTTGACATCATTATTTAGCATTGCCTCAACAAGTTCAGGTTATCTACAAGCTATCAGCTTTATTCACATCCTGAGCTTCCTTTACAGCAAAGGGAGAGAAACAGCCACTTAAAGACAGAACTTACTTCAAACATCCATATTAGGGTAAAACAAGCACCTCAATCTGGACTTCACCAACTGTCACTAATATCTGTGTCTACATTTAGTTGATGACTCTCATCCACTCCATGAATACAAACTTAAAGTCTTCCTAGGTCTTCTCATGGTTTATTTCAGATAGCTCTTTTGGCTTAAGAAAGCATCCATACAGCCCTCTCTCCCTACTCCTCTGTATCAACTAATTAAAAAAATAAAAAAGAAAAAAAGGGGGGGAAAAGAATTCCCTATATCCTCCATGGCAGCCATTAATTTAGTGTCTCCATACAAAAACCTCTTCCCCATTTTCAAAGCTTTTCATCAGCACAATGCAAATCCCAACCCTACTTGCCCTGGTACCAGTAAGAATCCAAGATACCTTTGGTTCTCAGTCTCCCTCAGCATTTCCAAAAGACTGGGAACAGCAGAAGGAAAAAAAAAAAAAATCGTGCACAAACTACAGTAGGATCCAAGAATCACTATTTACAGTCCAATTCACATATGTGCATTTCATAGGACCCACAAAGTATCCTTCTGTGAGAAAATTAGCTCCAGTAAACAATCTCCTTTCTAATAACTACAAGAGTCGTAAGTTGCAAGGAAATTCTGCCCTAAACATATCCAAAGAACTTCAGAACTTGTGTTTTGTTAAGGTTGAGTAACTGCTGAAAAAAACTAATTAGTTTCATATATTAAATGAGATGCACCCTCAAAGTCTGGACAAGAGAATTCAAAGCAGAAAGTGATTTTATGCTGTTATTTCCTCTTCATAACTTCAAAAGAAGTAGCTGCTTTACTAAGCAGAGAAACTAAGTCTCCTCTCAAGACTGTCTCTCATCTTGTTATGCGTAATTATTTTATTTATTAGTGCAGTAATGTCAACACAAAATAAAAATATATGAAAAAACTAAAATGCACTAGACTAATAAAATATACCTTGAACAACAACTTGGCTTCCGGGAACAAAAAACTGTTGTGTGCCATCAGGTGATTGTCCTGCATATTGCACAATGGTAGCACCTGGCTGAGGAGCTCCTGAATTTGTCATTGCTAATGCCTGTAGTCCATGGATACCATCAGAGGCTGGATTAGAAATCTGGATTGTACCACCTTGAGTTATAGTAACTAAACATAAAAAGAAAAAGAAAAGTTAGGCAATAGAAAGAGATACAACACATGTTAAAAAGCACCTCTCCCTTTTAAAATGAACATTGTCTGATAGGACTCCTGGTCTTCTCCTTGCTTAAAGATCAATTGTACAATTAAGGCTTACATAATGCTAATGCTGATTTCCACAAATATAAAGCCTCTTGTGTAGCACACACCATGTGTATAACAGATAAAAAGCACGGTTCCACATGTTTTATGTCTATGCTTCCAGAAATATGGTCTCCTAGTTTTAACACAAGAAAAAAAGAAAAAAATAGTAGCTCCTAGTCATACAGAATCAATGTTTTAAACACTGATGTAAAAAAGTTATTTGATAAACATAGGGTTTTTTTTAACTCCCACAAAACAAAAACCAGAGCATCTAGACAAAGGAAGAGCAAGTCTTCTGACAGTCACAGTCCTTTCCTTAGTGTGAGAGAAAGTCTAGCCCAACAGTGTTTTTCCAAGCTGTACAAAGCTGTAGAGTCCAATACTTACATAAAACCAGAAACAGAACAAAGGTTTTTTCCCCCCATGTAATCAGCAATATGAAAAATACAAATATACTTTCACCATTAAAAAAATCATATTGTGTTGCTCACCATAATTAAATATTTAGACAAAAATCAAATTCTCCAGAAAGGTTATTAATTGTATATTCCTTCTGAAATTAGCATCGTCTTTGTTAAGAGCAGAAATATAGAATCATAGAAGGGTTTGGGTTGCAAGGAACCTGCCTTGGGCAGGGACACCTTCCACTAAATCAGGTTGCTCAAAGCCTTGTCCAGCCTGGCCTTGAACACTTCCAGGGAGGGTGTATTCACAACTCTCTGGGCAACCTGTTCCAGGGCCCCACCACCCTCACAGTGAAGAATTTCTTCCTAATATCTAATCTAAGTCTTCCATCTTCCAGTTTAAAGCCATTGCTCCTTGTCCTATCACTACACACCCTTGTAAAAAGTCCCTCCCCAGCTTTTTTGTACACTCCTTTTAGGTACTAGAAGGCTGCTCTAAGGTCTCCCCGGAGCCTTCTCTTCTCCAGGCTGAACAACCCCAACTCTCTCAGCCTGTCTTCATAGCAGAAGTGCTCCAGCCCCCTGATCATATTTGTGGCCCTCCTCTGGACTCACTCATGCAGGTCCACGTCTGTATTATGCTGGGAGCCCCAGAGCTGAAGGCAGTACTGCGGGGTGGGTGGGTGGGTGTGGGGGGGGTCTCACCAGAGGTGAGTAGAGGAGAATCACCTCCCTTGACCTGCTGGTCATGCTGCTTTTGATGCAGCCCAGGATGTGACTGGCTTTCTAGGCTGCGAGCACACATGCTGGCTCATACTCAGTTTTTCATTCACCAGTACCCCCACGTCCTTCTCCTCAGGGCTGCTCTCAATCCATTCTCCACCCAGCCTGGCCTTGTTGAACTTCATGAGGTTTGCACAGGCCGACCTCTCAAGCCTGTCAAGGTCCTCCTGGATGGCATCTCTTCTCCCAAGAGTATCAACTGTACCACTCAGCTTAGCGTCATCCGCAAACTTGCTGAGGGTGCACTCAATCCCACTGTCCATGTCACCAACAAAGATGTTAAACAATACTAGTCTCAATACAGACTCCTGAGGGACACCATTCATCACTGGTCTCCATCCAGACATCGAGCCATTGACTGCAGCTCTTTTGAGCATGACCATCCAGACAATTCCTTATCTACCAAGTGGTCCACCCATCAAATCCATGTGTCTTATGTTAATTAAAATACTCCTGGAACTTTTAGATGAGAACCCAGTTCCCAATAAGTAAGAAACTTCTTTCTCCCCCAAAAGATATTTAAACTACAATCATTGTCATTGTATTTAAAGTGGTCTGAGATGATACAAAAGTCCTATATAAGTGTGGATTCAGGACTGCCAACTCCTCCAATTTCACTGTCAGATTCACAGTATTTGATGACATTCTTGAAGATTCAGCTCTGGTCATCTGAATACATGATTTGTTGAGACACTCATGTGAGTTTTGGAGATAGCTGATTTCAAATGTTCTCTCTTGACAATAGTAGGTTATCTTGAAAGTGCAACATCACATAATAACACTTCAAAGAGCACTGAGATACTAACAGTTGATTAGTAAGCTGTTATTAGTAAATTAGTAACTACTAGATGTTCAGCTAATTTTTTTGAGAGTGTAGTAGAGTTAACTACCAAAATTGCTAAATCCTAACCGCTAAATTAGCTTCTTTTTGGAGAAAAGAGGGAATTCCTCTCATGCTGAATTAAGCAGAAAGCCCTATCTGCAATACTGGAACAGGGTTTCAGCATGGACCTCCAGTCCTACCCTTGGAATGTAGAACATGTAATGTAGGAACTAGCTGGAAGCTGCATACAGGTTCCATAAGGCACTGGGGGGGGGGCGGAGATGGGGGACACACAACACGCCCACAAGATATTGTTTCAGTCTGGCCTCCAAAGCAGAAAGTACCCCATTTGGGGGCAGGGCAGAAGAGAGAAAAGCAAGAAAAATTAATCATTGCCTCCTCTAATCTTCACAAGATCCAGGACAACAGCAGGTTCCCAGCAGCATGCAAGCTTCCCAGCACAATTTATCACCTCTACCTCCCAGAGAAGTTATACAGAGCCAAATTCTGCCTCTCACAGAGTTAGCGCCAAAAATGGCATGTCTACACCATCACAGTACCATACCAATAAAAACCAGTCAATTTGGGTTCTTAAGCAGTAAAACATCAGCATAGGATCATACAAAGTTCTTAGCTCCACAGTGAGCCTGGGTAACCAATTATGTCACTGCTGTCCTGCAGCGATTCATTCATTCAGATTACAATCCAGTACTTTCTAAACAAGAGTGAATTAACTCCAGTAACTCTCCCTCACAGGAGTGATTCCTGCCATATTACCAGCATACTGCCCCCACCCGATTCACTATCCTGATCTCAACCACTGCACAGACCTGTGTTGTGCTGGAGCTCTACTGGAAATTGGGCCTTCTATGAAGAGTACAGGATTTTCCTGGCCAGTCCCTGGAGTTGTACATCATGCAGGTAGATGGATCTAAATGGCATCTTCTCTTCTAGCTAGGACAGAAGACGATACCAATACCATTCTCTGAGTATGACCAACAGCTCTAATCCAGAAAAATCAGATCTTTCCCTCCCTTCCAAAACTGGGAAAAGCAAGTAAATTTGGTCTTTCCCAAAAGATTTATTAATTCTCCAATTGTTAAAAACCTGTCCTAAGACAGCAAGCAACCCAAACAGACGGCAAAAGAACTAGTAATTTTCATTTCCTCAGATCGTTTCAGACAGAACATCATGATATGCACAGGTAGGCAAAGGGGGGTGGGGGTGGGGTGGGTGGTTGATTCACACACTCCAACTGAGCACTCACTTGGTTATACCACCACCAGAGGTGAGGTAAACCAATTTTTTTTCGGTATTCTGTAACCAACATGACAGAACTACAGCCAACAGAGTAGGTTTGTAGTCAGATCAGACTACAAGGCTCATATGCAAGACACCGCGTTATGCAAAACTATCCGTTCCCCTTCCAGAAAGGTAAAACATATGTTGATGGAGGTAACTGGGATAGACATTTGATCTAGCTGGCCATGCCTGTCAGTCTGCTTCCTAAGCCAAAGCCAAGAAGCTCTGAGGAAAAACAGATTTGGAAACCATGGCAACGTACCATTTTGGATGGTAAAAAGCAAGCAAAGAACAGCCATCGCACTGCTAATAGAAAAAAAAATATTTGTTTTTCAGAAAAATTTACTTATCAACTTCTTCCAAAAATAGTCATCCCAGACATCCAGACATCAACATAGAGTCAAAAATTATCTTTTCAACTAAACTGCCTTTCCTATGCAGGAATAGAGAGAGCAGTAGAGAAAATAAAGAATCAGCAAATGTAGTAACATACGATATCTGTTTTAAACCAGGGGACAGTACAGATATGGCTGCAGTGACACTGCAAGACCAGTTCTTCATTGCCATGGACACAGTACAAGCTTAACACATCAACCGCTGGATGCCTGCACCAGAGAACCTATGCAAACAATGCTGGCCAAGAAGAGAGGAGTACTCAGATAAAAATAATGATAAGCAGAAGTAAAGAGTTATTAAAAGGAGATGTAAAGATAAAATAGATACATGTAGTGACCTTCTGCATCATATTCAGACTGAAATCAACACAGGAGATGCTGCATTCCCACAGAGTGTTCCCCGTTTTTGCTAATGGCAGTTCCTTAGGATCACAGGCAGCCAACAGGATGGTTGCTCAGAAACATTGCAGATCTGTGCCTTATACATGTAAGGACTAGAAGTCAACATTCAAGCTCTCTTTGGTAAATTCCAAATTAAGACCCCCTCTACTACAAGGAGATGACCATCCTTGCTACCACTTGGTACCAATTTTTGCTAACCAGAATTAAAGAGAACACACAGACTTCACTGAAGCAAAAGAGATATGATATTTTAACTTACAAAGTTTAAAAAAAAATTTAAAAAATCTCAAATTAATGAACTAATAAAGTAGGTAAGAAAAAATATTTCCAGGAAAATAAAGCTCTGAAAACAAAGTTGTTGAGCCAGAATCAGCAGAGTCCATGAAGGCTGACATTGCATCCTGAAGCAGTGCCTCATTATGGCTGAGAACCTATTTAACAAGTTAAACTACCTTAAATACACAGCACATGTTTTAGGCTATGACCATAACTTACTCAAAGAAAAAGCAACATAAAACAGAAATCTTCTATGGTTGGCTCATGCAAAAGCTAAATTTAAATTAACATAAATGAGATTTAATTAATTTTTTGTGGACTTTGTTAATTCAACCATATTGTTGGTGATGCTCTGTGTTACTTGATTTTTCAGAAGTAAATGTTTGATTGAACAAGAAAGCAAAAACTGTGAATTTCATAATTCTTTTATACACTTCCCTGTCACTATGATTTATAGCTATGTTCAAATTAAAACATCCTCAATTAAGAACCACCTCCTACAAGACATTGCTAGTAAAAGTACAACCCTGGTTTCCTAGAGGAATCTATGATTAAGAAACCTAAACTCCTAATTTCTTAGAAATTCTAAAGGTTTGAAGGCTCACTAGAACATAGTACAGACACTATAGCACTTCTTTTTAAGCCTTGAAACTGCAAATATACTTTTTTTTAAACTAAGTCAAACCAAAAATGTAATTCAAAAACTGAAGAAAATAATTTAATTTGGTCAAGAATACCTGCCAGATTCTGTAATTTAGCATGACCACAAGTCCACAGAAAAGAGCACTTCAGATGCAGACATTTATTTATGTCTATACTTTTCTTACCCTTTCTGTAAGGTATCTTAGGAGCCCAAGCAAAATTACTTTATATGCTGGAAGTGTAGATAATATTATAGGCAAATTCAGCTTTCTCAAGAGTTCATAATTACTTTAGTTGTATACATAAAAAGTAACTGAAGAATTTTAAAGGTGACTAGAATACAACTAGAGAGCCATTCTATCCTCTTTTATATACTATTGTAATGTTTTAATAAGACTTCCTCTGTTCTCTTGTTTCAGGAAAAAAACCCCAACACATTTCTTTTGCAATTTTCCTGTCATTATATCAAAGAAAAAATACCTGCATTTCAGTGTGTCTACACGTGAAAAAGACATGAAAAAAAACCACAACAGTAGGAGTGAAACTTTATCCAATACATAATTGAAAAAAAGAGTTATTAGAAAGTTATCCCTTAGATGATATATGATTAAGCCCAAAGAAGCTATAGAGAATGAGTTATGCAACATTTTTAACATAAATGCAGGAAAAAATTTTTTTAAAAAAAAGCCAAATCTATAGAACAGAACTGTGAATCTAACTTTTAACTCGCATTTGGATGAATTTGGAAACCATGATTTAGGTTAAGTCTGCAGTTAAAGTGTTAATACTTGACTACTGGAAAGCAAGAGACATAATTCTTTTAAGAAAGAAAAATCAACGTTAAGAAATAATATCATATTCCAATCTTACACTTTAAAAAAGTCTAACTCACTAATTGTCATTTCATGTAATGAATAGCACTAATACATAGCAAATCATAGTAATTTGAAACTGCAATGATTTATAACACTAAACATTCACATAAAATGTCAACATTTTTCATTTCACCTGAGACTCACCTCCACATTTTTAACGCATAGAAGTTCTACAAGGACTAAATCTAGCAGGCAACAAACGTTACAAGAAACAGACTAAAAGTCCATAATGCCCATGTTAGGAAAAATTAAATGTAAAAATTGAAATTATTTAGAAATACAGAGGCTCTTACTCTTCTTCACCAAAATCCAACATCTCTACTTCATTATGGAACACTCAGAAACAAAGTTGCTCCTATATATGTTCTGCAACATCACATAGTTATCTTTGCAAACGTACTGTATTGCCCTGCGTTACTATGATACAGGCTGGATGGCATGGCCATTGCAGAAGTTCCAGAAGACACTCCTTCATCTTCTGACTTTTCTTCTTCTTCAATTTTTGGTACTGCAGGAGCATCTGATGAGAGTTCATTCAGAATTTTTCTAAAAAAGAAAGTAAATAATTTTATATATTTGAAATTCCATATCCATGAGAAAGCTAAGTCACTGGCTTTTATCAGACAGTTTTCCTGTAATATATAAGCCTCCTTCAAAAACAAGCAAAACCAAAATAAAAAGTCCTTACCGGTATGAAGGCCTTCTTGAAAGTATTTCCCTACGTTTTTGAGAATCAGTTATCCCTTCTGATTCTGTAGATTCATCTGCAATTGATGCTACCTGTAACAGCAAAGTTTCTGAAATTCATAACTTCATAAAAAAATAAGATCACAACAGAGTAACAGATTATTTTTAAAAATTCCTTCCACGTTTGCATACAGGAAGTTTGTGCGCTTATTTATCTCTAACCATGTGATCTTGGATTTCTTTTTCCAAAGCAAATCACAAATTATGAGGTTGGCAACACATAGCCACTTAGATGACATCTTTTATTTGAAAAAGGAAAAAATCAAAATAATCCAGGTTACTATTTTTGTGAATGACACCTAGAAAAAGTACTGAAGACAGAAAATTCCTTTAAACATAAAAAAATTATACAATTTAATTAGCTTTTGAGGTTAAATTAAACATTTAAAATACAGAATATTGCACTAATGCACCTTAAATAACAGTATATAATACAAAAGCCTCTTCACAACCACACCAAAGCTATTTATAAAATAAGTTTATTTGAATATACACACTTATTACACTTACCAACATACATTCATAAATACAAGTACATTGCTTAGCAATACTGTGTAAGTTTTAGAAACCCCTGACAAGTCCAGAATGTCTCATTTTCTCAAACCTTTGTTATTAGTATTTTCACACATTTTCTCTTAAAATTACCCAAGATGACATTCGGGTCTGGAGCTGAACCACACTCTTTACCACCAACTATCTTATTACACAGAACTGAAAGTGATTATTGAACAAGGAAAACACACTATTTTCTTGATTCATTTAACTACTCAGAACTATTGGTGTGTAAGATTTCCAGACTGAAACAGCGCAGTAAAGTTAGTGTCAAAAATGACCTTTTCACATAAAGACAGACCAAACTGCAGTTTCAGACCAAGCGCTGTGTTAAGCTAACACTGAACAAACATGAGTTAAGTGATGAGAAGGTTCAAGTGTTCCACCTGGGTGCAGCGGAGGCTTCCCTGCAGCTCAGGGAAGACAAGGAAGAGCTCTAGAACTAATGCAGCTGCCAGGCCTGAGGGCTCAGTGCTAGAAACAAAACCTGCTTGACCTCAACAGAAAATGACTGGCCGGAAGGTTCTGGAAATTTATAGGCCTGGGTCACCCCAACTCAAACCTATAACACTACACCTTGAAAGAAACACAGGACAAATAGCAGGAAAACAAGACCTTAGTGCCTTTAAACCTTTCCATTCCACTAAGGGTTACCGATAGCCACCCCTAGTTTGTGAAGAAGGCCAAAGAAGTCAGTAATAGTCATACGTTGGGAAGAAGGTAGGAAATCACGAGTCAATTTAAGCATTTTAATGTGGAAGAGGACATTTTCTGTAAGAAATTTCAAAAGTTCTAATTTTCATCAGGACAAAGAGATAAATTTAATGTTTCAGTTTGTTCTAATAGCAAGCAACCACATTCACAATGCTACCCAGTGGAAACCATTGCCATCTTTTCCTGGACATCACTCAGACTTCAACTTTACCACACTGCTCTGCGTTGGAACAAATTTAAATTTGAGCTCATGTTGGTCTCCTAATAACTAATACATTACAAGTGGGAGCAAGTAGAAAAGTCAAATAACAATCTGAACTTCAAACTTTCCAACAAGTAAAACAACATTAACAAAACAGTAAGGAACATGATATAGATAAGCATTTTTTTCATCTGAAAACCAACAGCATTACAAGAAAAAATTTTGAACACCTTCCGGTTTAAAGCTGCAGGTGTTTGAGGGAGAGGTCATGCAAGCTTCAACATCAAGTTTCAGCATACCTTTTTTCTTTTTTTTTATATTAAAGTAAACTGGTATCATTTCCCAAGTTCCCCACTGTCTGGCAGAGATGGGATATCAAGCTAAAGGCAAATGATCTGGAGGAAATGCCAGGTGGCATGATAAAGTACTTAAGAGGATCACAGAAGGGCTGAACAACCTCTGTAATGGAGTCTTTTACAGCATCTTCAGGCCCTTCTTATAGAATCACCTTATTTGCCATTAGTATGCTCAAATGAAACCAAAGCAAAACCCTGGAGGTAACTAGTCAGTATTAAATCAGGACACAGCTTTCCTGTCTCTACTCATTTGGGAAAGAGAAGACAGACAGAGTTCACTCAATACAACAAATAGTTGACTTCCACTCCCCTAAGAAGACACAGCAGCAGCTGGCAAGAGATTCCAGAGAAATTCCTCCTGAGCTGTGGAGCAAGTCCTCTGTTTTTGCATGTATGTCCTGACTATATTGACTTGAAGAAAAGCATTGGCAGAAACCGGGAATGACTGTAATATGCCTATCTGATAAAGTTAACTCTGGTAAATTGCAGTTAGAAATCATTCCATTTTAAAAAATATCTATTTTGAATACTTTGATTTGACTTCAAGTTTGACCAAATCCAAGTCTCTTGATTTCTACTGCACCTGTTTCAATAGTGATCTAGAATTTCAAAACCCTACCAGGTCCCATCATCTACACCTACCGCTTACAACTAAAATATTCAGTATCTGGCCAAGGTTTTATTCTTTTTCTTCAATCTCTAAGATAAATCATACTTACATATGCCTTTTTATTTACTATACTTGAAAGCTACTAAGAAGTTTCAAACATTAAAGGTGTCTTCTCAAGTAGACTGACAACACATGCCTTTTCCTTAACATGTTACAATGACTGCAGGTCAAACAGTTCACACATAACTGGTGTATAGCCTCTCTTACCAGACATATCAATTCTATTTGCAAAAAGCAATTCAGTTGACATTTCACAGTCAGATTTTAAGAAAACTAGAGCAAAGGTATTCTTAGCTACAAGAAAAACACCAATGGGAGGCCAAGTCATTTTCAAAACACTGCAAGTGCATTCTCTCTAGTCTTTTTCACTATTTAAAAACTCTGAAAACTCCTAAGAGTTTTGCACCAGTCCCTGTTTTCTAACATCAGCAACTTTAAACATGTGAAGATTTGCCAAATAAATGTTTATTTTGAGGCTGCCCTTATTTTTGGTCTTTACATGGCCACACCCACAAAAAGCAATACCAGATGCTCTAACAGGGCCTGCTAAAACCAACAAGGAATCATTTGACTATGTTCCCTTCCATTACATCCAGATCCTCTCCAAAAATACAGTATGAAATATTTCCAAATTTATGAGTTCATAGTCTCATTAGAAACACGATGGTCATAGAATTTAACAAAACAGAAAAACTGCAAGATACACTAAAGTAAGGTCATGTTGTTACACAAATTTGTTGTTGCATAAGTTCATGGTTCCAAGACACAATTTCTTAAAAGGTAAACAGGAAGCATTAAGGAATCGCTACACAATGCTTGCAGAGCTGTTACTAGTTGGCAGTTTGCCACCTTCCCCCCAACGCCGTTTCCTGCACCATATAAGTAAATCTTGCTGCACTGGTAGGAATGAAGAGAAACTGAAGATGGGGTTGTGGGGAAGAGTTATGAGGCACCAAATATTCATGAAAATGAAACAATAAAAGAGCTAACCTGAACAGCTTGCATGTGTGGTGACTGAATGACTGAGGGCTGTATGGCTTGAATGACACCCTGGACATGAACAGTTTGACCAGAAGGCAACTGCACTAGAGTTACAGCTGGAGATCCTCTTCCAGCACTTGATGCAGCTACAGAAACCTGCAAAAATTACAATCATCATGTTTTAAGTAACATGCCTTAAGACTTCACCAAATGCTTTTAGAAGCTATACTAAAACAAACTGGGTTTGATGACATATCTAAAATAGCTTAGATGTGTGTAATTATCACACAGAGAAATAAACTAGTTTTACTAGTAAAAGTTTGATGTGTATCTTTCCAAATGGTATGGAAAGCTTAAAACTGTCCCCTAACAAATTGCAAATCTTTCTTCCTTCCCCCCCCCCCCCCTTTTTTTTTTTTCTCCTCTCCAGAGACATCAGGTTTTCTTTTCAATTAGAAACAACCCTAAGCTATCACACACTAAATCTGCTGCCGGTAGCATGAAGGTTAGGAAGAACCTCAAGAAATTTTAACAAAAAATGTCGATATTCCCTGAAGTGGTATGTTGCTGCAACAACACACAGAGCAGAATGTTCTCAGTCAGGGAAGGGGAAAAAAAAAAAAAATCCAGAACTGCTTTGGTTTTGCTTGTTCGTTAGGCAAGAAGCTGTGCTTTTCAGATAGATGTCTCAAGAGACATGAGAACTTTTCAGATAGGAAAAAAAAAATAAAAAATTAAATAAAGCAATACATGGATATGTAAATTGATTTAGCTTAATAAACTAAATGTGTTTATTAATGAGTGTATCAGTGGTTCAATAGAACAACAAAAATAAAGAACAGATGAATCTTCTTTAAGCCTAGCACAGCTGAAGAAAGTGTTCTGTTTAGGAATAATCTGATCCCTTTTTCTGATGACATTTTAGAGCACACACAGCTTTCCCCAGCCCTTGGCTTTCAACCATCGGTACTGAGGACGAATGGGTTAAGAAACAGTTAAACACCTACAGGCTAAGAAACAGTTCAACATTTATGCTATTACCATGAAGTCAATTAATTAACAGCAACAAATACTGAAGCAAAAGCAAAACACTAGGATTGATCTCAAGTTCTGTGTGAGGAAACATCTCTAAACTCAGAAGAGAAAAACAAACATAAATTATATGATAAAAAGAGATACTGTGTTTTTCAAAGTAAACTGCATTGAGAAACCTTATTTCTATATTCTGCATGTACAAGAATAAACCCAGACTCATATCTAAAATTCTGGTATTATTCCCTTCCTAGCTTTGTTCTCAGCCCCAAGAGGTATCTGGTACAAGCAGTAAAGGTAGAAAGAGATGACAGTGAGAAGAAAAACATGATGAATGCCAAATATTTAAAAAAAAAAAGTTAAAGTTTTGTATTTTTCTCTATTCAAACTGAAGGGTTTTTATTTCAAAAATTAAAGAAGCTTTAATTCCTGATCCATAAGCCATTGCTTGTCTGGGAAACATTCCTTTCTTGAAGTAACAGAAAAATTTTAACTACTATTAAGATGCACTACTATCAAAAAGACC